TAGAGTTGGGGTGAAAAATGTGTGACAAACCAAGCAAACTTTGTTGACCATTGTAGCTGATTTATGGTCTCAAAAGAGGCTGGCAGATCTGGATATTTTCAACCCTGGCCATTATTTAAAATGAGCTTGAGCATTGTCAAGATACTGTACAATACATGTATTTATAGAGCATTATCAAATCAAATCAATACAGAAGTAGAAATTAAAAGGTAAATCTTAAAATTCAGCAGAAAAGATAAAGCAAACTTTAGAAATTTGAAATGCTTGGGTACATTAAATTTAAAAAATAGCTTTATCTTGGCACTGAAATCCTGTCAGCCTCTTCAGGGTGGCATGTCATAATAATAACGTTGCTTAGAACATAGAACATAAAGTAATAGGGTTGAAAGGGGCTTTGGAGGTCTTCTAGTCCAACACCCTGTTCAAGCAGTAGACCTTGTGTCATTCCAGACAAATGGTTATCTAGTCCAGGGTCTCCAACCTTAGCAACTTTAATACTTGTGGACGTCAACTCCCAGAATTCCTCAACCAGCTTTGCTGGCTGAGGAATTCTGGGAGTTGAAGTCTATAAATCTTAAAGTTCCCAAGGTTGGAGACCCCTGATCTAGTCTTTTCTTGAAACGAAGGAGATTACAACTCCCAGAGGCAAGCTATTCCACTGATTAATTGTTCTTACTTTCAGGAAATTTCCAGATTGAATCTCTCTTTGATAAGCTTCCATCTGTTACTGTAATCATCTTTTAATCTTTAATAATCTAAGACTGAGCCAATCAGCCCATTAAGTTGGCTTGGCCTCTTGAGTCCTAGAAAATACAATATTTAAGGCACCCCCACATCATGCTTACAGCAGTTTATTCTGAGGCGAGTGTATTCCAGATTGATGTGACTTTAATTCCCAAAATGTATTCAACTGATCTGAAGTCTAAAGAACGCATTGATCTAAGATGGATCATATTATTTACTTTTTTCCTCTCTCTAATTCATTTTTTAAAAAGAGGAGGGAAATCAGAGATTTACAAGAGGGAATGCTCAAAGATTAGGCAGGAGGGAGAACAAGAGAAGGATGGGAGAAGGTTGAAGAGGAGGAGAAGAAAACCGTGTGAAACAAAACCAAAATGACTCCTGAATAACTGGTTAGAATCAAAGTTAGGACAAAATTGATGACTAAGGAACTCTTTTAGGTTGGCTTGGGGAACCAATCAATCAATCAGACTGTTAGAAATGTAGCCTGTGCATGTATTTTCAAAATATTGGTTGAACAGTCACTGTAGGACTTCCCCTTAACAGTTTACTGCCAAAAATACCATCACATCCTCCAAATGTTTCTTGGTTTCTCTCCTCACTCCTGCAGGAACTCTGCTTTCGACTAAAGTAAAACACAGTTTACATCTTGGAAATAGGCTAAAAAGGTCATACACTGCCATGAGAAAAGTCCTAAAATATGTAGTCTTCTTCTCCCTCCCCCTCGTCCCTTCCCCCCTGCTATCTTCCAGCACCAAACATGATCTCATCTTGTGGCTTTATTTGGAATGGAGATCTATGTTAGAAGCCTGAACAAAAATTTCTTCACCACAAAACACGCAAAAAGATTGTGTTTCTGATTTGTGCTGTTTCCCATGAGCTGCTCTACCAGAGCATGACTTATTTTCTTAGCGAAATAAGAGAGTTGGAGGTCCTCTACTTTAATCCCTTGCTCCAGCAGGAGACCCTATACCATTTCGGTCCAATGGTCGTCCAATCTTTTCTTTAAAACCTTCAGCGATGGAGGAGCACCCACCTCTTTGGAGGCCTGGCAGATAACTTGTAGAGGGAATAAAGAATGGCCTTGAAGTACAGAAGGAAGGAAGCTCACTGTTCCCAAGCAACCATCAAACAAGCAAAGTTTGAGTCTATTCCAAGCAACTGGTTTCAGTAATCGTCTCAGAAAGACCCCTCCCTAATTCATACGAAGATAACATAGCAGAGGAGGACAGCCTGTTCAAACTTGCAAAATTTGATTACTGTAACTATTCTAATCAAAGTAGTTTTAGACCTATATGGCACTAGTTTTTTTTTGGTCTGCTCTATTCTGCATGGCTGACCACAAATACATTTTTACCCTCTGAATTCAGCTGTGTGAAATCATTTCTCTTTCTCCCTCCTTCCCATATTTATACAGTTATTATTTTATCGAATTTTGCTGCCAATAAGCCTTGGTATGTGAACTACCATAAATATGAATGGACTTGGTTTAATATTTTATGAATGGCTTTTATTAAAATGAGGTTCCAGCATAGTTTACAAACATACCATGTTCAGTTCCAGCTAGGATTCCTTGTCTTCGAAAGCTGTCAGGAAATTCACATTGGTTTCCTTTGACCTTCCAGATTTTTGGCTCTACCCCAAGCCTTGACTATACATCACAGCGTTAATTCAGTAGATACTGGTAATGAACTACATGTTCAGGGTGCAGCCACAATTCAGCATTTTGCATGCACACACATACACACATACAAAATGGTTTGACAAAAGGCAAAACGTCTGCCAGATTTTGTGAAAGTGTGCTTGTCACGGGGAAAACTCAGTACAATTCAACGTGATGCAATGAAATGGAAGACATATGGATGCTAAAGTTTTGCTACCATGAGTTATTAAAGTAGTTTAAAAGAAAAGCAACTTTGCCAGAACTTTTGGTTAGCATCAGCAGCAGCGATGCTCTCCATGGCTTCTTCTTCTTCTTGGTTGAAGAAAGGTTTCCAAAGTAGAACAATTTTTAAGAGCAACATTGCTCTTAAGATCAGAGGATCAGATAAAGGGTTTTCTGGTTTTGTTTAAACAATTAGTACAGTGTGCACCATTTGTAGCAGATTGGCAAAAACTCATTTAAAGAGATTGCCGTCACGGCTGTTAGCGAATGTTTATTATGTTAGTGTAAGCAGAAGTTATAGACTATTGTACTGGATTATTTGCTTTTGGTTTGCTAAGAAATCTAAGACACAGCTTGCTAACTGCCTCACAAATAGATGGTAGAACTATGGAGCTTTATAAAATGTCCACGTTCTAGTACAACAATGTAAATTTAGAGGACACTGTTTTATAACTAATGCTTTGCTCAAATCTGTGAGGCAATTTCTTAAAAAGTACTTGTCCTGAGGAAATATTTTTCTGTTTTATTCTGAGGAAAGCTTGAGAATTTATTTTAAATTTCTATTTGTATTTGTGTTTGTGCATATATTTTGGATATGGAAAAGCAGCAGGTGGTATTTTTGTTATAGTTGCTGCTGTTATTGTTGTTGGTTGCACAATCAGCCAGATATTTAAACTAGATTTGGCATTTTCAACCACCTATTGAGTTCTACCCAAGGATCTGGGATAGGCAGATACTGATGTTTTATAGTGTTAAAGATATCTTTGCAGGATGCAAGCCCTTCCAAGTAAGGCTGCCTTTTTGCAATTGACATATGGTGATTTTGTAGCTAAACGCCATTCCATAACTTGGAAATTCCCTAAAATGCTACCCAATCTGGAAGGGGGAAAATCCAAGGTGAAATTCCTTTTGGGGAGGGGGGGGGGAGTCTAATAATAGAGAGGAGAGCCAAAGAGGCAGCAGACTTATCAGGAGTATACAATGAAATTCCTAAGATTTACACATACTCCTTGTTTGTTAGGCTTACCTCAACAGTGGCAATAAATCTCAGCTTTCCAGAAGCTCAGCCTTGCATTCAGGAAGTAACAGCAAAAGCTTCATAGTCATGATTCAGCTAGTTAAATTGCTTTGCTGCAGACAATAAAGTCATATTAACAGAAGAACAGAGTTGGAAGGGACCCTGGAGGTCTTGTAACCCAGCCTCTGCAGGAGGGGGTTGGATTAGGAGCAGGAGCAGGAGACCTTATATCAAGTAGCTGTCCAGTCTCTTCTTAAAAATTTCTAGTGATGGAGCACCCACAACTTCTGAAGGCGTTCCACTGGTTTATTGTTCTCGCTGTCAGGAAATTCCTCCTTAATTTCGGGTTGCTTCTCTCCTTGATTAGTTTCCATCCCTTGTTTCTTGTTCTGCTTTCAGGAGCTTTGGAGAATAGCTTGTCCCCCTCTTCTTTGTGGCAGCCCCTCAAATATTGGAATACTGCTATCATGTCTCCCCTAGTCCTTCTTTTCACTAGACTATGCATGCGGAAGATCTGCCTTATTTAAAACACAACATCAAGCCCTCCCGTGTGTGTGTGTGTGTGTGTGTGTGTGTGTGTGTGTGTTTCCCTGCTCCAAGGTTTAAATCCTGGTTTTTTTTCTCTTCCTGTTCTTTGGAGTTAATGGACATTGGGCTGTGTTTTTTCCGCCAGCTTTGAAAGTCGGGCAAATCTGTTCCATATTTATATGATGGTGCTGTCCAACCTGAAAAGCATTGGTTCCCCTACTGTCAAACCCCAATATTCCACTTTTTAACAAGCAGAGAAATCAATCAATCAAATCAAAGACATCCTACTCCATTCATTAGCATTTCACCAATAGTATTTTGTCCTTTACGAGCAATTTCGAAAGCCACTTGACTTCCACCAAAGCTGAATGTGCAGAGAAAAAAAAAATAGAGGCGGTCTTGGACTTACAACATTTATCGCTGGAATCCAGAAATAAATGCAGGGAAATGGCCAAAACAACAACGATGCATTATTCTTGTGTTCCTTTTTCATTGTTTATTTCATTGTCCTGTTATTTTACTTCTGTTTACGCTCTTTTCATTTTCTTCCTTTGAATTACTGTAAGCTGCCTAGAGTAGCCCCATAGCAATGATAGGGGGCAAATAAATTAAATAAATAAATATCAGAAATTGTGATCATGTCACCATGGGACACTGCAAATGGCCATAAAGGTGATTCTGATAATGGCATTCTTTCCATACGTCCAGACTTATTCCTTTTTATAGATCATCCTAGTTTTGCATTCATGCACATATAGTGCAAATTAATTGTAGTAGCAGTAGTAATGCTGCTACAGCAATTACTCCTATCCTCTTGTCTTTCTGTAGATCATGGGATATTCTGAATGGGATCATAAACGAGGATCAAGAGAATCTCAGGTCAGACTTTTTGAAAGATTTTTCTGTGCCTGGCTAATTAAAGATTAAAGAGTGTTATGTATTTTGGGGGCAACCTTGTGCACAGCTATTCAGTGTCTCTGAATTATGGTGATTAAACACCCATCTAGGTTTGTCTTTTAATAGGCTTTCATGGTCATTCACTTTCTGATATTTATTATTTTTATCCCTCTGCTGCTATTTTCCTTCAGACTATTTATAGGGTCAGTGTACAGCAGTGTTTTTCAAACTTGGAAACTTAAAAAATATGTGAACTTTGACTTCCACAATTCCACAGTCATTAGGAATCTCAGCTTTTTCATTTGTTAGATTGATAGAATTCAACCAATTGGCCATAAGTTACTCAACCTCGTTTTCTTGCTAAGAATATTTGTGAATTGCAATAACCACAAATACATCTAGTGGATATATTTGAACTTGAGGGCAATTCACTGAGGTTAGGGTTAGGATTCTTATATATTTCAAGCAACCTCAGCTTCCTTACTCCTCATTGTACCTAAATGGAAACAATGCTTTCAAAAAACCTTACACCGTTAAAGCCTAATATTCATGCTATGATTGCAAATAACCTAACTTTGGGATAACTCTGATTTGGCCACTTAGTCTCTGTGTTGGAGCTGTTTGTATTTATTGATACGGACCATGAATAATTATAGGATCTGCAAAGCTTCCAAGGCAAGATCCCATTTGAACTTCATTGTGATCCAGTTTTGGATTAGAAACAGGTGAAAATTGTTGGAAAAGAATAATCTATCACCTTATTGTTGTGATCCACCGTGCTGGCTGATGAATAAAATCTTTTACATAAAGCTGCAGCTACTGTAGACTTTAGTGGTATAGGGTTTTTTGAAGGAACCCATGATTAAAATTCAGTTTTGATCTCACTTGATCAACATTTAAATCTAAGCTTCCAAGACTCAAAGCCTGACAGTTATAGAAACATGCTTAAGGGATATCTGTCTCTTCTGGGTAAGTTTAAATCTCCAAGCCAAATGAACTGTATTTTAGGATACACAGAAAACTAGCTGGTATTCCTAGCCATGTTTACATATCATCTTTGAGAGATTATGGAAAACTGATAATATCCCAGAGGCCTAGAGAAGAACCGATTGTACCTACCTAAATAAAAAAATATCAAGGATCTGTTCACAAGTCAATATGAGATCAGTACCATGGAAAGAACAAATTATAATGAGATTGTATTGATGTGTAAGCACCTTGAAAAACAGCATGTTAATTATTTAAAAAGCAGCATGGATTTTATCAGTTTTTCAAACCATAAGAAACAATAGTTCTATTTTATTATATATGGGGAGATCTTCTCCCTGGTAATGCCAGTTTAATGTCTTGTTCTCAATTACATGATATAGCATAATGGATATAAGTAAAAAACAAAATCTTACATAACAATACAGTATAATCAATTCAAACAGCACAGGTTATGACTGTAGTGGAACTGTTCACCTTGGTCATAATTCATGACAGTTGTAAAGTCATGTGACTTTATAACTTTACAACCTTTTTTGCTGTGGTCGTTAAGTAAATACTATGGTCATTAAGTCATGGTTTACTATGGGCTGGGTTTGCAGGAATCTGGAAGTAAGTGCCAGCTTTGAGCAAATTTGTCATAAAATGTGGTCATGTGACTGCAGGACACTGCAATCAGCTGTAAATATGTAGTCATGGGATGGCGGGGAGAACCACTAGAACTTCAAATCCAGGTCATAAGCACGCCCCAACACAACTTTGTTGGAACTTTGAACAGCCATTAAGTGACTGGTCATATGTTGAGGACTTCTTATAAGCGCTGTAGGACAGAGGAATCAATAACTTATTGGATGTATTCAGTCAGCGACTATATACCGGTAGCTATTTGTTGGACATGGTTTACACTGAGTTTCTGCTCTAAGCACGGGGTTTGATTTAATGGTCTAACTATCCTTTTCTAAATATACTGAATTTGCGTTCTCATCTTTCATACAGTTAATAATTTTCCTCTTGAAACACATTGAAAATAAAGTTTTTAGGTCTGAGAATATCCAACCAAGAACTTGAACGTGGCTATGGCATGTGTACTTTTTCTCTAGGCTGACCTCAAGATAATGGAAAACAATGGTTGTCTTCTTTTGGGGGGCAGTTGGCTGAGTGATTAGTAGCCTGGGTTTATTCATGGGTTATAATTTTGGCTTGTGAAAGTTGGAATTTGGTTGTTTGTCTGAAAAGGTTTAATAAAACATCAAGCAAATGAATGATCTTGCCGGGGAAGTAAAGATAAAAATATATTTCTCTTGATACAAAAGATGCAACTAAAATTACCCTATATAATTGAATTGAATTGAATTCTTTATTGTCAATGTACGTATATACACAGTATACATGCAATGAAATTCACGTAACACCTAGAGACCAGACCCAACACACACACACCACAATCCCCCAAACACCCCCCTACCCACCAAAATTCCCCGCCACCCCCAAAAACACACAAGCATCCACACAACTGATCAAGTAATACTGTCCAACAGCTCACTGATATTGATTTATTGATGATATTGATTCCAAAGATTACGGTGAAGGCCCTTTACATCTCAGAAGCAGCAATAAAAGCGTAAAATCACTTGGATAAATTAGAGCACCACAGCTGTAAGGGTCAAATATCTTAGTTTTCAATTTACAATTGTAGTTGAACTCGGAATTACGCTCATTGATTGGGTCACCATAAGATCCATGGGGGCACAGTGGTTGGAATGCAGTATTGCTGTTCTGACCCAACTGGGTTCCCAAAGAGCAAACACAGACAAAGGCAGCAGCCCCCACTTTTTAAGGTTTAATAACGAATTCTGTTCTGAAGGCTGCTTTCCACTAATTAGCTCCAACAAGAAAGAGCCTTGCCAAGTTGTTTGTCAAGGCTGCCAAAAACCCAGAGATAAGAACTAATTTACAAGATTCTCCAAACACGAACTAAGATGTCGACCAGTTAAACTTAAGAGCTTCTTTCCCTTCTGCAAAGAATGCTTTTCCAGACCTGGCTTTTATCCTCTTGAGGGAGGGGCCATTACCTTGCAGCCTTACTCCTGAGTCACCCGTGCTGCTGCAGCTGCTCTTTCCTGCGAGCAATCCTGCATGCACGCGCACTTGGCACAGGCTCCTCGGGAACCTCCTCATCACTGCTGCCAGCCCCCACAATCTCTGAAGGCAGAAGTCCACTCCCTGATGGTCCTGGCCCTTCATCAGAGTCCTCGCTCTCCTCAGCCCCCTGCACCTGCTGCTGGCTACCCACAACAATTCCAGGCTAATTCTGCTGACTGCCAAGAGTTCGATCCCCATCAGCTCAAAGTTCACTCAGTCCTCTATCCTTCCGAAGTCAGTAAAATGAGGACTTACATTGTTAGAGGTCTTTGAAGCAGTATATAAGTCTAACTGCTATTGCTATCCTGCCCAATTTTGCAATTTTTTCTGCAGCAATCATTAAGCCAACATGGTGGTTGTTAAATGAACAGAGTAATCGTTAAGTAAATCCATTGCACTTGATGGGCTATACTTTTTTTTTTATCAGAAACAGGAAGTAAATGCTGGTTTCTGGCAAAAGAAACCCATCTAAATATAAATGCTGCCAATAAAAGTCCAAGCAGAATTCAAAGGAGAGGAGATGACTCCCTCATCCCAAAGGTGCTTTTTCAAGAAGCTACTGACCTCCTTTGTCCTTTGTTTTCCCTGAAGACATTTCGCTTGCCATCCAAGAAGCTTCTTCAAAACTGAAGAAGGTTCTTGGATGAGAAGTGAAACGTCTTCAAGAAAAAACAAAGGAAGTCCAGTTGCCATTTGAAAAAGCACCCCTGAGACAACCATGACCTGGATGACTGAGAATCTCCATAGACACTTGACTCCCTCCTCCATGTAAGTGTAGGGGTGGAATTATGCACAAAGTAACATGTGGCCATTTGGGCCTTAAGGGTAGATGTCCAGCTGCAGCATGAGTTAATCTAAAGTGGAAAAATATCAATCCATGAGCTTCCCTTGCCCTGTGCAGTTGACTTTCTTAAAGACATTTCATCTTTGGCAGGAAGATCTCAAAAGTTGGGTTCTTGGTCTGTGCTTGGCAATTTGGTTGCGAACATTTCATTACCATTCGAGGAGACATTGTCAGTACGCTTTGAATTGTGTTCATCTGTCCGAGGACTGGCCTTTTAATGCCTTTTTATGCGATGCATATTAGTGTGGATGTTGTTTGTTCGGCTACTTCTGAGTCACGGTCTGACTTCAGACTGATTGGCTAACTGTTGTTACCAAGGCATGCATGGTCGTTGGTTTTAAGTACTGTCTGTGTGACGTAAAATTAGTCTTGTTTGTTCGGATACCGCTGAGTCATGGTCTGGTTTCGGTCTCTTTGAATGGCTGGCTGTTGTTACTGAGATGTGTTCCGATTTTTTGTGAGCTGATGGGTTGTGATTTTTGTTGTGGTGTAGTGGGGTGCCTGTTTGTTCATTTTCAACGCTATCTTCAGGATCGCAATTAATGCCGTTCTTTCGTTCTCAGAGATTGGTCGACATGATCAATGTCAATTTGTCTGTTCATTGACTTACCAGTGGAAAACTGAAAAGTAGTTATAAAGCTGTTTAAACTCCTTTGCAAGAGCTCCCTGCATTTGAGAACCTACTGGGTCTCGAATATCAAAGATTCCTGACATTTCAGACTTATGAAACAAATTGATCTAAAATGGGAAAGGGACATTGGGGCAAAGCTGTTATGCATGCCTGTGCTTTGTTTTGCATTATTCATTCATTTATAGTAGTAATTTATATGCCACCTACTCATCGAATTTCAGGTAACATTTATTTTATGGATGCATTTGTTTATAAGTGTAGCGACTGCTTTAAGAAAGCCATTTTAGGTGGTGACAAAAGCCGGAACCAAGGCCATGTATATTAAAATACGACATTTTCTTCCTTCTTTTCTTTCTTTGTTTATTTTAAATAAATTGC